TTCAGCTTGTGGCCAGTTATGATAAAGAATCTTTCTTCAATATTTTTTGCCTATCTGGTTTTTCCTAATAGAAGTATCAGAAAAGCACTGGGTTTGGAATCAAGAAATTAGTCCTAGGAGCATGGCTAAAGTAACAGGACCACTTAAAAAAAAAAATACCTATACCAAATGAGGAGAGTTTTTATCTTTAAAGCTATCATTTTAGGAGGCTGGATAGTTTTTCCACTGGTATGTCCTACTATTACTTAACATACCTTTTCAAACTCCTTTTAGAATTTCTTTGGAGAAAAATTTTTAAATCATTCTTACTCAGGGATCATACCTCACTTAACAAAAAGACAGCACTCATTTTAGATACCTTTTACCTTATGACCTAGAGGATTCCAAGTGGCTCACCTCCCTCTTTAAAATCAGTTTCATCTTCAGAGGTTAAAAGATTTGCCACCACTGGGAGCCTGCCACTTCAGGCTCTGAAAGCAATTACAAAAGAATAGCAAAATATTTTGAAAAATGGTAGAATGGTTGCAAGAAGTGTTTAATCTCCTTAACTGACTAAGGAACATGTAAGAAACTAAGAGACAGTTGGTCTTTTGTACTTTTTGTTCTCTATGTACATAATTTATATATATGTTTATATATAATGTATTTTTTAGTCATTCTTTATTGTAATATATCATAGATTCTTTACCTATATTTTTATTGTTTACTTTTGGACTTGTCCTGTTAATTTTGTACTATTTTTAGGGTACCATTTATTTTATTTGTCAGAGAAATTGTATTTTCTTCCTGAGTACTGGCAAGTCTGTCTAAACTTTGTCCTGTAGCTAATACACTAGGGTGGGGGGAGGGCGATTACAAAATGTATTCCTGGAACGTAAAAATAAGATGAGAATGCTTAAAAATCAGTATTCAGGTAGAAAGCTAAAAACTTTTATCCAAGTCAGAGATCAGAATATAGCCTGATATGAATTCTACTTTTATTAAATTGTTTATAGGTGCTTATATTAATAGAACTGAAGAAGAGCTGTGTCATCAGAAAGGGAATGCTTAGTGTGGGAACATAGGAAAATGTAGTTAGAGAGGCAGAATTGCTATATCTTAGTCACTTCTGTGAGTTGCCCTCTCTGGGTTCTTTCTACTCTGGGTTAGTAGCAGGATTATGGACCTGGGAGACTAAGGGCCATAGTTAGGTAAACTCACCAGAGACATGTCACCTGGTAGGATCTCTTGGAGGTCATTCAACTGAGTTTCTCTCTGCATGCCCTCTACATGTTATTATTAACCTTTCACTTTCAACAAGTATCATCTTTGTATTTAAACATTTTCTCAGTTCCTTCACCCTGGTTATCTTTAAAGATGAAGTGGACTGGCCCTGGATCTTTAAAATGATTCTTAAGAACCTATATAAGGGGAGGTAGTCATGTTAACTTTAGGATTCTAGTGATTCTAAGCTGCCTGCTCTTTCTAGAAAGAAATGAGTGGATAAAATGGATTGCATTAAAATGTTCTGTTTACTTGATCTTCCTATTTTTGTGTAACAGGAGGTATCCTCTATGCTAAGTGGCAACTATTTGGAAAGTATCATTTGAATTATAAAGATCTTATTTTGAAGTGTTATAATCCTCAACATTTATTATTTATAAAATGAATAATTCAACATTTATTCAGTACCTACCTTGTGCTAGGAAGAGTTGTAGTCACTAGGAATATAAAGATGATTAATATGTGTTCTGTACAGTTGAAGGGAGCCTCATTAAGCTGAGATTAGTACACATGTAAATAATTAGGATATGTGGCCAGGCGTGGTGGGTCATACCTATAATCCTAGCACTTTGGGAGGCCAAGACTGGAAGATCACTTGAGGCCAGGAGTTCAAGACCAGACTGAGCAACATAGGAAGACCCTATCTTTACAAAAAAATTAAAAATTAGCCAGGCATGGTGGTACGCATCTGTAGTGCCAGCTGCTTGGGAGGCTGAGGCAGGAAGATCGCTAGAGCCCAGGAGTTTGAGGTTGTATTGAGCTATGATGACGCCCCTGCACTCTAACCCAGGCAACAGAGCAAGAGCGTGCCTCTAAATAAATAAATAAATAGATAGATAGATAGGATACATGCTAGATTAGAGGTATTGTGGGAAAGTAGGAGAAAGTGATTCTGCATGGAAAGCTAGACCTTGAAAGATTAGCAGGAATTTACTACATGGAGAATTAGAGAAGTTGGTTCCAGCATAAGGAGAAACCACACATAGAGGTGTAGAAATGTTTGCTGTGAACGTATGTGTGATTTACGTAGGGAGAGTGGCTTGAACTTTAGTTTATAGTTGCTGCTTGACTTACAATGGGGTTGTGTACCAATAAGTTGAAAATATTCTAAGTTGAAACATATTTAATACACCTAATCTACTGAACATCATAGCTTAGCCTAGCCTACCTTGAATGTGCTCAGAACACTTACATTAACCTACAGTTGGGCAAAATCATCTAAAAACACAGTACACTGTACAGTATTGGCTGTTTATCCTCGTGATCACGTGGCTAACTGGGAGTTGCAACTCATAGCCACTGTCTAGCATTGCAAGGGAGAATCACTATGTATCACTAGCCAAGGAAAATATTAAAATTCAAATTTGAAGTGTGGTTTCTACTGAATATGTATTGTTTTCAGACCATTGTAAAGTCAAAAAATCATAAAATTATAAGTTGAGCTATCATAAGTCAGGTGCCTGTTAGGTCTGTAGATACCTGGTGGTAGTGGTGAGAGAGAACCCTGAAACCTAGTCACTTGTGACTGGTTTAATTTACAATGCTGTGAACTTGGGCCTTCTTTCCCCATCAAAATGGGGAGCCATAATTTAAATAAAAGAGTACCATTATCAGCTTTATAGTACAGAAAAATTAGAAGCAGTGGGAAGATGGGTTAGAGATAGAACACTTAGGGAAGGTTTTAAAATAAAAGGTGAGGAGGACTTCAACTAGGAGAGTGGGGAGGAGGCAGGTTCAGGATGTATTTTTGAGGTGGAATCAGTAGAACTTGGTGACAAATTAGATGTTGGGATTGAGGGAAATGTTGATTAACCTTCCAGGGCATCTGAAATGATGGTAGGACCATTAAGTAAATTAGGTAAGATAGAAGAAGAAATAGGTTTTGGATATGTAGAATGGCACTGTGTATCTACTACTGGGTAGATTAGAGTTTAGCAGAGATTTGGGAACAAAGGTTAGGAACTGTCTCTCTTGGTGCTAGCCACTGCTGTGTGCTATCTTAATTGTTATACAACTCCAAAAGATAAGTATTATAGTATTTTCCCTGTCTTACAATGAAGAAACTTAGGGTCAGAGAAATAAGTCATTTGCACAAGGTCATATAATATCATGAATTTTTCCATAGTATTTTTATTCTCTAATGCTATGAAGCAAACCACTCCTTAGTTTTGTGACTTAAAGCAATGATTTATTATTATTTTTTATGGTTCTATGAATTGACTGAGCTCAGCTAGAAAGTGCTAGCTTGGGGACTCTCATTTGGTTGCAGTCAGATGGCAGCTAGAACTGGGATCATCTGAATGTTCAAACAGGCCACATATCCAAGATAGCTTTTTTATTCGTGTGTCTGGCATGTCAGCCGAAATGGCTGGAAGAGCTGGGGGCTGACTGGTCATCTCTCTCAACAAGGTCTCAGCACACAATCAGACTGGACTTACTCATTAAACTGCAAAGCAATCTTCAACTCGTTATACAGTATTGGCTTACCCTAGGGGGAGTTGTTCAAGACAGCCAGGCAGCAACTGCAAGATCTCTGATGATCTAGGCTCAGGCCAGGCATGGTGGCTCATGCCTGTAATTTCAGCACTTTGGGAGGCTGAGGTGGGAGGATCAATTGAGGGTAGGAGTTTAAGATCAGCCTGGGCAACATAGCCAGGCAGTCATCTCTACAAAAAATTTAAAAATTAGCTGGGCATGGTGGTACATGCCTGTTAGTCCTTGCTACTCAGGAGGCTGAGCCAGGAGGATCTCTTGAGCCTGGGAGTTGAAGGTTGCATTAAGCTATGATTGCAATACTGTACCCCAGCCAGGGCAGCAGAACAAGAACCTGTCTCAGAAAAAAAAAAAAAAAAAGTAGTCATGTACTTTCACTTCTGCTGCATTTTGTTAGTTAAAAGTAAGTCACAGAGCCAGCCCAGATTCAAAAGTAGGGGAATCACAAGGGCATGACTGTCCAGAGGCCATCTTTGGACATTAGCTTCTTCCACACACCATGTTATCTTTGGAAATTGCTTTTAAACAGCCTGGAAATAGGTGAGTCCTAAGAATGCCTGGCTAAAAAGTGAAGAGGGTACAAGAAGACATCTGGGGACCATGAATGTGTTTTAAAGAAAGACCCAAGGAAGAGGAGTCAGTGAAAAAAAAATGAATGACTGACTAGAAAGGAAGAAAACTTAGAGAAAGTGGTGCCATAGAAGCCAAGTGGGGAGGAAGTCACTGCCACCATAGCCATAGGTCCTTGGATTTGTTTGTCATGTTACAATGGCCCTGTGGTTTAAATGTACTTATATAGATCACAATGACCCATTTCAAAGACTGTCTTTCTTTTTCTTTCCCATTCACCCTACCCTACATGTACATACTCAGTTGATGCCTAAAATTATGCAGTTAGAACTTCATTGGCTTAACCCATTGTGAAACATTTATGCTTTAAGTCATTTGTAAATTGTGCTTATATTTGAGATACTTTATTAAGAGTAGGTTTCCATAGGAATAGAAAGAATGTAGTGCTTCTGGCTTCCTAGAGAGTAGGTTGGAAAGATGAGAGGTATCTCTGTAGAATAACGGGGCTGGGGAAGTTAGCATAATGGCACACTACTGCTGGTCTTGCTAGGATGTTGAGTTCCAAGAAAGTATAAAGTACTATACATTGAATTAATACCATAGAAGAATGAAATAGGGAATTTTTAATTTTTTGGTCTGTAATTAATAAATCACTGGTGTTTTCTTTATTTCAGAGCACAAAGTTATCATTGTTGGGCTGGATAATGCAGGGAAAACTACTATACTTTACCAATTGTAAGTATTAACTACTTTAAAAAATTTTAGTTCTAGACACGTTTTCTGCCTAGGTGATATTTGATCAATGAAAGTAATAAGAAATTATGTGCAGCCTAAGTTACTATGTGAGAAAGCAGGTTGGCCATAAACTAGGAGCCAAATTTGAGCAACTGTTTGTAGAGAGCTAGAAATTTATATGACATTGAGTATTTTGTTCAGTAATTTTGTACTACAGTTCTTTTGTTTGTAGAAAGTAGAAAAATAATTGTTTTGAGTTTCCTGGAATGTTCTAGAATATTCCAGATAGTCTACTGTCTAGTTCCAGCTCCTTAGCTTACTCATGTTATGAACTAGTGGGAAAAGGATATAAGGGTATAAAATATAAAAGGAAATCATGCTTGATTTGTCCTTGGTTGAGAAATTGTCCAAACAAGCTAGCTTCCTTGCTAATTGTAGTATATATTAACTTTTTTTTCCAGTTCTATGAATGAAGTTGTGCATACATCCCCTACAATAGGAAGTAATGTAGAAGAGATAGTGATTAATAATACGCGTTTCCTAATGTGGGATATTGGTGGCCAAGAATCTCTTCGTTCTTCCTGGAACACTTACTATACTAACACGGAGGTAATGTTTCTTATGTACTAAAACTTCTATGAACAGAATGCTTGGGAAACACTTAGATTTGAACCCTTATAGTTAATCTTTTTGAAATGTCATAGTATGTTAATGTAGAGAGAGTTTCAGCATAGTAAAATCTTTGATTTCCTGTTTCAGGGTCATTGTTCAGTATATCCACTGTCATTGAACCTCTATAGGGAGAATTGGTGTGGTTGATTAGTCTGGTTGATCCCAAAACTTGTCTTAAGTAATTGTTTTTATTAATATAATGGCTTCTATCTCACAGTTTGTAATTTCATTTTTCTCTTACTGTTTCTGTTTGGCAGAGTGGAGAAAATCCTACTTAAATGAAAGGGCTCTAGTGGTTTGAATCCTAGCTAAAGTTCTTTTGTGCATTTTCTTTTATGCAATACAATTGCACATTAAAGAATTCTTTTTGGTTATAATGCATTTTAGACATAATCATTTATTTTTATTTACATATTTTTTCCAAGAGAAAATTTCAGACTTATGATATTTACGTGTTCTATACTGTAGACCTGTAAATTAAAAGACTGTGACAATTGTTTTTATAGTGCTCATTAGAAATTAATAAAACATACTCTAAACATATATAAAACTGATTTTTAAGTCATTAAGACACTATTAAGTGTCTCAAAGCACCTGATTTTTGAACACTCCATTAGGCATTTAGTCATGTTTTTTGGAGAAGGAAAGATATGTATGGTTGTAAAGGTATATATAGTACCCCAGTATGTATTGCTGCAGGTATCAAATCTATGCCAACACCTTTAAAATTAACAGCTTTATTAAAATCTTTGGAATAGAATGGATTTTATAGTAATAAAGTCATCTATCAGTAAGCTATCAAGCGAGAAGAAGTAAAGTAGCAGTTCTCTTATTCATTTGTCTTTTGGATGATGAACTCTGAAGAATATAAAAGATGCTGGAAATCATAGTGGTTTATTTAGAAATTAAAATCTGCTAAAAAATAGATAGTGTATATTAATAATAGACAATCAGAATTAACTTGGGCATCATAACTGCCATCATAAAGTGAGGAAGTTACAGCTTCTCCTACTTCCCTCCTACTTTTTGGAACTTACGGAGCTGAGGAAGAGGTACAGTAGAGCTCAGTCCCACACAGCACAGCCCTTGCAAGTCTTTCATTGCGTCTTCTGATAACAATCTCATCATCAGTTCAGGGAACATTTGTGCTTTCAGGTAGCAAGTGCCATTTATATAAGGAAGAGAGCTTATTTTTATATATAGATATATTCTTTCAATTTGTTGATTTTTAAAAAAATTGATTTCCTTAACTGTCACATTGGTTTACTCCCATATACATGCCTTTTTAGGTTTTCAAATTAATACTATTAAATAATAATTGTCTAGAAGTAACTTATATTTAATTTATTTTTTTGTCAATGATTGACAGTGCAAATAGATGGATATAGGCCTATTAACATTCAATATACTACGTTAGAAAACAGATGTGTTGTATATTGGTTAGAATGTTAGCATCATGTTCTCTTTTTTCTTATTTTCTCTTAAAAATTAGTAAATATATTTGAATTAGAAATGGATCAGACCTTTAGGCTTCTACTACAATGTGTAGCAGGTATCTTAGGTTTTCCAAAAATCCCATAAGATTCTGATTTCTCTTTTTAATTATTTCTTAAAAATATTTTTAGAGACAGGTTCTCGCCCTGTCACCCAGGCTGGAGTGCAATGGCGTGATCGTAGCTTACTGCAGCCTGAAACTCCTGGGTTCAAAGGATTTTTCTGCCTCAGCCTCCTGAGTAGCTAGGACTACAGGCACACTTCACCACATCCAGCTATTTTTTTTTGGTAGAGCCAGGTCTCACCTACACTGGTCTTGAACTCCTGGTCTCAAGTGATCTTCCTGCCTCAGCCTCTCAAAGTGCTGAGATTACAGGCATGAGTCACTGTACCCAGCAGATTTGAATTTCTTGATAATAGTAAACTGTAATTCAAATAAGCACTTTATAAATTTTATAAATATCAAATTACATGATCACTAATGTTTTTTTGTAATTATTTTAGTTTGTAATAGTTGTTGTGGACAGTACAGACAGAGAGAGGATTTCTGTAACTAGAGAAGAACTCTATAAAATGTTAGCACATGAGGTAAGTAGTCTTTTTTCATTAGATGTCGGGGGGAGGGTATTTGTATCACATTTGTTCTTTCTAGTTTCTCATGAGGATGCTATCTATTTCAAATTTTTTAAAAAATTAGTTATCTGCTGGCCATGCCTATTTTATTATTTTAGCACTTCCCAAATTAGAAATGTATCTGGAAGCAGCAGAAAGACTGTGGAGTCAATTATAGACTTTATTTCACTTATCCTAGATAAATTTGGTTTAGAAGTTTTTTTGGGCAAATGAAATTCCTATAAATGGCTTTTATTTTCATTTTGAATAGATTAATTGAACAGATGATTATCATTGGAAATGAGATTTTAAAGTACCTAAATACATAGCAACTCTTGATTGTTACCCAGTTAGCAGACTAATATTTAAATGTAATTGCTCTTAGGTTTCTCTGCTATTATTCCTTTGACTAAACAAAACTATATGGCTAGCCACATTTTCTTAGTCCTTGAAAAATATTTCTGGTGATATAAGTCAAAAAATAAGCAGAATAATATGATGAACTTGATAATAGAATATTATTATAAAATCATAATATTTACTGTAGTGGCAGTTGATTCTTTTTGAATGCCTTTTATTACAGGTGCTACTTTATTAATTAATATATATAGGTAGGAATAGAAAAATTAATATTTTGATGTGTAGAGTATAATTTTTTATTTTTGTGGAAGTTTTGTAAAGCTTAAGAAAATTGGCATATCTTTGTAATGAAGTTTTATCTTTATTTTAATATTGACTTGATTTGATTTTGAGATTTGTTCTAAGTAGTGTTTCAAGCAACCTTTCAAGAATTTAGGAAACCTAGGGAAGTGGTTGTGTAAATTGAGGTTCCTCGTTTGCCTTGTGTTGATCACAGCCACCAAGATGTACTTTTACGTATTTTGGACTCTAATTCTGGGCGCTGTGATAAACCTCCTGGAGTTTTAAAAAAAACTGTGTCTTTACCTTTGTGTATTCACTTACCAAGTTTCTAATTTGGGATATAAACAATAAGCCTTAAAAGAGGCAGAAGACCAGGAATTTTTTTTCTTTTCTACTTTGTATTTTGCAAAAATGGAACTTTCTTTGGTTTATTCCAAAGTGTTGTTTTATGAAGACGTTGGAAAAAGAAAAATACATGCAAATGTTATTTGTCTCTTGGCTATATTTTTTACTCTGTTAACAGGCAGTTGATTTTTACCTAATTGGCCAATATATAGCAGAATCAGCATCTGAAGAGCCCAGTGGGAAGGCTTAAACAATGTCTTTGAATTTTACTAGCTGGGGGCATTAACTTGGGCAGATCACTTAACCTTATCTATTGTGGATGAGGCCCAGAAAGGTCATGCCGCTTGACCAGCTTTCCAAGAGGCAAAATTTGAATTTTGGTATTCTCATTCAGGTTCTTTACTGGAGGGTTAAAAAAGAAAAAGATTTAAATAGGGCCTAGCTGGAAAGTGAAAGGAAACTGAATGGGGAGAATCCTGGAGAAAAAAAGAATTACAGATGAAGTTGGGAGCTAGGTAAGCTACTCAGTAGGGTAAAGAGGAGCCAAATAGGCAGAGTTCTAGAGAGTGACAAGTGGATCCAAGAATGAGAATGTGTGAATGAAAAATAAATTTAGACGTGACATTAGTTGAATGTTTCATATATACTACATTAACCAAAAAAATCTTATCATCATCACTGGATAATGCTTCTTTACATCATTGTAAAATACAAAACTGTAAAAATTGTAAAAGCTCTCAAAGCTTCATCTTTAATGAAGTGTAAAATTTTGAAGTTCATTAATTTTGAAATAGTTTCAAACACCAAAGTCTGAAATTTTATTTAGAATGACTTAACTTCTAGGAATTATCTTCACAAATGTAGTTTTGAGAAACAAATTGAAACTATATATGGCATATAAAAGATGCTAAGTAAATAATAGCAACTTGTAATTGCTGTTTTTCATCTCCTTGATTAAACTAAAATACATCTTAGACTCTTAAGAACAAATATCTGTAGCGTGTAGTAGAAAGTATTTTAAAGGATTTGAAACGGCTGTGTACGAAAGATCAGCACTGTTCACTTTATACTTTGACCTCTTCTTATTAAGTCAAGTTGATGAACAGCCATAATTCAATATATCTATTTTCTATTTTCATAATGCATAATTGGTTTTGAGGTTATGTGTAAAAAGCAAAGGAAGATTTTCTTTCCTCTTTTCCTAAATATTTTAAAATACATAAAATAGCTATTTTTAAAAAATGAAGAACCCCAGATAAAAAAGTTTGAGCCTTGAGATCTAGAAAAAATTACATTCAGTATTTTTTTTTTGAGACCTTTCAACAAATGGCTTTGTTTCTTGTGTTTTCCTATTTTCGGCTGGGGGCTTCTACAAATAATTCATCACTAAGAGTGATGAACGTAAATTACTCACAAATAAAATAATATAAACAATGTGTCCTAACTCGTGCAAACTATTTAAGTGAGAAGTTTATTCTTTGAACATGTCAGCATTAGTAAACCTAACCTATATAAAAGACTTCAGCGCATTCTAGCAAGAAATAGTGAAACCTACATGATCAGAAGATAGGAATTGCATCCCATGGAAAGTCCTTCTACTTAATGACTCAGCCACATATCACCTATCGATAATGGTTCCATTTTCCATTTAGGATAAGAGACAAAATATATATTGTATATCTTTGATAATGAGAACATGTGTACAAGTTACAGTTCATCCCTTCAAATTTTTTACCTTTTATATAGACAGGGGAACTGAACGATGGGTGAAACTAGTTGAACATGAAATTTTACATTCTAGCAGTATGGCCATATTACTAATATTTAGGTAAATATTAGGTCATTAAATATGAAATGTCTGAGTTCGAATCAAAAGTTTTATATCTCAAACAAGAAGCAATACAGTTAATCAAAGTGTGCGCCTAAACTATCCATATAGTTTTGGCATCTTAATGGTAGCTTGTTTATGCCAGCAGTGAAGAAGCCTGGAGAGCAAGTAGCAATGAAATCACGAAAGGTGTTTTCCACAGCTTGTTGAGAAATGAATATTTTTTTCTTGCAAGAAATGGTCCAAAGCCTGGAAGAAGTGGTAGTCAGTTGGTGCAAGGTCTGGTGAATATGGTAGATGACAGAGAGTTTCCAAGTCCAGCCTCTATAGTTTGAGCAGCATTGTTTGTGCAACATGTGATTCAGTGTTGTCTTGCAAGAGGATTGGCTTGCCTGTATTGACCAGTCTCAGCTGCTTAATCACAAGCATCCTCATCATTTCATCCAGTTAGTTGTAGTAGGCATCTGCTGTAATCGATTGACCAGTTTTCATGAAGTTGTAGTGGATAATACCAGCGCTGGACCACCAAACACCATTAGCTTTTTCCGATGAATATTCGATTTTGGACTGTGTTTTGGCACTTATCTTTATCCAGCCACTGTGCTGAATGCTTGTGATTGCCAGAAAGAATCCATTTGTCATCACCCATAGTAACATGGTATAGAAAGTGTTCACCTTTATGTCGTGACAGTAAAGAAAGGCAAGCTTCAAGACAGTTTCTCTTCTGACGCTAATTTGATTCATGTGGTACGCATCTATCCAGCTTCTTTACCTTGCTGATTTGTTTCAGATGGTCCAATCTTGTTGGAATAGTAACATGAAACCTTGCTGCTAATTCACACGTAGGTTAAGATGCATTCGCTTCCGCTATAGCTTTCAGCTCATCATTATCCACCTTGGTCTCAGATCTCCCACATGGTTCATGTTCAAGATTAAATCACCAGAATGGAACTTCTCAAACCATCGATGTACTGTGCCTTCATTAGCCACATCCTTCCCAAACACTTTGTTCGTATTTCTAGCTGTCTGTACTACATTGGTTCCATGACAGGACTCATATTTGAAAATAACATACATTTTTAACATGTCCATGTTTTCACAAAAATTGCTCTAAAAAAAGTTTGAAAGATAATCACAAGCCAAAGCATGTGTTTGAAAGAATGAAGATGTACCTTCACAATAAAAATAAAACAAAAGGTGTCAGAGTGAAATAAATGTCAGAGATATCAACTGTCAAACTTAGTACTTAAGGAAATCAGACATTTCATACTTAATATAGTATTACCAGCTGTGGTAGCATTAATAGCTGCCGTCCTGCAGAGGACACTGTAACAAAAAGTCAGTCATGCTTGTTACATAAAACATTTGCATAACTCCTTTTAACCAAATGAGAAATATGCTAATATTTTTTACGTACATCAGAAAGAATCAAAAAAGTCATCAAAACTGTATTCTAGGCTGGGCACAGTGGCTCATTCCTATAATCCTAGCACTCTGGAAGGCTGAGGCAGGAAGATCCCTTGGGCCCAGGAGTTTGAGGTAGCTGTGAGCTGGGTGGACGCCACGGCACTCTAGCCTGGGCAACAGAGCGAGACGGTCTCAAAAAAAAAAAAAAAAACTATATTCTAACAAGAGTAAAATAATATATAACAATGTCATTTTGTACCTACTGGCGACTTTATTGTCTCAAACGTGTCGTACACATTATCAAAACCAAAATATCTCATTAAAATCCTTAAGAAGAAAGATAGCATTCAGTACAGTTGGTAAAACTTGCCAACCTGGACCAAAACTTTAGTTTTGTCAGTATCTCTTAATATGTGTAGGCAGAATTTTATGAGAGTTTAATTTACTAATTGAGTAATCCTTCATGGATTCTCAGCCCAGCATCCATGAAAGGAATATATAGAGTATCTATTAACACCCTAAAATTATACATAAACTTTAAAATTTTTTTTGGTATGTATGCATATGCATTTTTATGGGGTGAAGGTCCATAACTTTGACTAGATTATCAAGGAAGTCCATGGTTTTAAGAAAGGTTGGGGAGTGGAGAGTATTGGGGCAGAAAGAGACTAAGAACTTTTGGCCTATTTTGTGAGTAAAACATTATACCGGTCATTTAGGGTATGCACAGTTATTATATTTGGAAAAGGGTTAGTGTGGTGGGTGGGTGGCTTGCTCCGATTATATACTCAATAAAAGTAAAGAGGAACATATTCAGAAAATTTAAAGAACTCGCCTCTGAATCATAGTACAGAAGTGGTAGAACTTCTTATTGGGGATATTTGATAAGTTTAATGTCAATCGAAGATGGCCTGATTGTGTATTCAAATCTAATAAATCCTCATGGACAAAGAGGAGTTAGGTCTCATAAGATGAATAGGATTGGTTTAGAATGCACTTCAGCCCTAAGGCCTTCAGGCATACATTGTAATGAATTCATTTATTTCCTATGCACCTAGAAAGTACTAATTATGTGTATTGTTAGGAGACTTGCAATGGGAGTCCCTCAAGTCATTTTCTGTACAGCATAATTCTCTTGTATAACCTTGGTTGTGAAAGGCTGGTTTAAGAGGTTGGCAGGAAGAAAATATCTGCAGAAGAAATGATTTGAGCAGCAGAGAAGGCAATGCCCAAAACTGTTTAGAAAGCAGTAGATTGCTAATTGAAGCAGTTTATTTTTATAGTGAATGATGTAAGATAAGACAGAAAAGTATAGGTAGGGTAGAATTTTGGAGAGCTCTTGAGTGGTAGACTTATGGGTAATTTTTAGTAGTGATTAAGCCTAGTTTGGGACTGGGGTGGGTGTTATATGCTGTATTTGAAGACATGACTGTTAAATATAGCACTCAGGCCCATAAAGAATATAGTCTAAGACTATAAGAGATATGTAAATCCATATGAGTATATATTTATTTATTTAAAGGTGTTAGTGTTATGTTTATTTTCTGTTAGCCTATGAGCTGTGAGGTACTTTTATGTCAAATAGTTGAGAAATAAATTCTAGGTTACCAAGATTGTGAAAAATACTCTGTTAATTAAGTCGAAAAATATATGGAAAAATATACTGGCCTCACAGTTTTGTTTGCTTTAATAGGACCTGAGGAAAGCTGGATTGCTGATTTTTGCTAATAAACAAGATGTTAAAGAATGTATGACTGTAGCAGAAATCTCCCAGTTTTTGAAGCTAACTTCTATCAAAGATCACCAGTGGCATATCCAGGCATGCTGTGCTCTTACTGGCGAAGGGTAAGAAGTCTTTCTCTTAGAGAACATGTATTTAGCTTAGAAACGTGTATCTTCTTAAAATCAATAAATATTTAAGACTATTATATACAAAACATTCTGTAAGGGAGAGATGTAAGATACAGTTCTACATCTGTAATCAGAGACTTTTTAGGATGGTTCTTTAAATAGTAAAACATACAACACAAACATAATACACAGAAACCTACTGAACTAATACATGTAAGCAGATAGATAATATAGTTGCTATAAGAGCTTAGAGAAATTGGAGTGTCAGTGAGAGCTGGAGAAGTCAGGAAATAAGTCTTATAATGGTGGTGGGACTTAAGAAGTAATATTTTTTGAGCGTGTCCCGTGTCTGGAGTGCTTTCCATACTGTGTTTCATTTAATACTCATAACAGTCCTACAAATTAATTGTTTTTAAGGTATGTTTTATACATAAAGAAGCTAAAGTAGAAGAGGATTTGCATCTAAGGCTAGTTTGGGGATACTCACGTTTCCACAAATGTGGTCAAGAGAGGGAGTTGGTTGTACTAAAAAAAAAAAAGGGATTGAGAGAATTGGAGACAGACTTAACACAAAAATCTGAGGGTTTTTCAAAAATTTAATATAACATAGTTTTTCATGTCTACAAATGCTCGTCATAGATAATAGTTAATACTTCATAATAGTTCTTCATTTTATTGGAACATAATGTGTATACCACCATTTCTCTCTTGCTAAACTTTTAGTTTCTTTTACCACAATGAGCATCCCTTTCTATGTTTTGGATTATGTTCAGTTACCCATTGTTCAGCATTCACTGGTATTACTGATAGGAGATTTTATTGCCTTCCAATTTTTTATGTAACAGATGTAACATACATATCGTATGTATGCTTTGTTTTAATTGCTCATTATGCAGTTCTGCCCATTAATAATACTAAGTCCAGAATTTGGTCAGATACTCCATATGTATAACTATGTAATATATAACTACTATATATTTAGTTTAACATCTGCCATTTTTATTTCATGTATATTATGAGCATTTTATTATATCATAAAATAGTTTTTGACAGTATAGTTTTAAATGTTTCATCAGATGAATGTCCCACAATCTGTTCATTATTTTTCCTATTTCTAGACATTTAAATCCTTTAAAAATGCTTTAATGAGCACTCTTGTACATAAATTATGTTTATCTCTGATTTTTTTTTTTTTGGATACGT